CGTCAACCTTATGTTCTACTTGAAACAAAATTGCATCAAATTAGCGAATATACACTCGTTTGCAAACTAATATTGGTTTTTCGGAGACCCAACTGGAACCCAGCTGAACTTCTTGTTTGTGATGTATGAGTTGTGAAGGTGAAAATATGCGTTAGTTTTAGGAAAAACAAAATTACCGATGACCTTGTGCACAACTTGAGCGATGCGAGTCATGATACTTCCAATAACGGATAAAATTGAGTCCGGCTATGACAACTCAGTTGTAAGATTTATTAGATAGGAAATGGTCAATGCCAAATTTCCAATAACTTCTATTCGGTCAATAGAAGAAACTGACAGTTGCTATGCCAGGCAAATAACTAAATCAAAGATACTTGCAGTGGAGATAGAAAGCTCACGTGTATTAGGGTCATTTGTCTTGCCAAATTATATCAGCTTCCATTTTTTGTGAAAATAAGCTATGAAAAGGATTGATAACAATGGTATCCTGTTTCTTGAATAAACGCTACTCATAAGGTTGCTGAAAAACGAAAGACTTCTCATTTTTGTTTAACCCTCTTAAACTATAGAATTTCAGGCTATTCAGTCGACCGAAATAAATATACCGGAGTATGAATACGACTACCGTGTGGGGGGAAGTCACTCACACCCTTTTTACACTATTTCAATATTTGTGAGTAGTGTTTATGAGTAGTGCATTACTTATGTACATGTATCTCGAGCATCGTACCAAGTGTAATCTGAGGCGGCTTGGTGCAGCACTTTAAGTCGCCTGGAAACATCACAAACGAGAGACTCAGCCGGGTTCCAGGTGAGTCTCTTGCAAAATTTAGATTAGTTTGCAAATGAGTATATTTCGCTAATACTGCAGCCGCCTTGAGCAAAATGATCACATGATCATACAGTTGTCCAGGCAGGAGGTCAACCATCTGAGTCATTTAGGTTGCGTGTATTTAGACTTCTCATTTGAACATATAACCGTTCCCAGTCCCACATGAAACAGCTTCAGGTATCTGAAAGATATTGGCGTTCACCTCTTTGTGAGAATCACACAAGAAGCTCGCTTATGTTGGGGAAAGTGTTGAAGTGCTAATTCATGGGCCAGAGATGAGGAAAGTCAGCTTTAAGTGTACTGGTCCCACAGACAGTGAGCATCTTCAATAGCTCAGTTGGCAAATTATGTGACGTAAGCGGGGATTCGGCAGTTCAAGTTGAACCCAAGGAGCGCCTTTTCGTTTATTCCAAATGAACTTGTGCTTACCATTTCTAGATTCAAGATTCATTATACCGGACATGCAAATGCAATCACAAATGCGACAATCCTTAACATCAAATCTAGTGCGGTTGGAAATATTTCCACTTGAAAAGGACCTCGATTGCTGGAAGGATTAGGATAGGCCAAAGACCATTGTTCCATAGTTTCTCAACCAAAATTTAGTAAGCTTGATTCACTAACTGACTGAAGTCTCGTACGACCTTAAAAGACTGACATGTGTTCCGGACGGACATTGAGATGCAAGGAATGGTATCTTTGACACTTGGATTGATAAGCAATGCACTACTGAATGTGTAAGTATTTCAGTTTCCCCCGATAAATCGGTAAACTGACAAGGTTAGACGCATGGTATGTGAGGCGAGGAAAAACGAATCGATCTTTTTCCGAGATCTAAACGGAAATTCTGTTACACGACTTCATGGCATATTGATCCCAAAAACGTCGCCCCTATGATGAGTCGAGTGAAAAACTTAGAACTAGTCATCCAGATCTGTTTCGATTTTGGCTTCGACCATTCGGTGAATAGGTTCCGTCCATCGACAAGTGGCAAGCTGACATCCATATACATTGAAATGAGTAGTTCTGTATGGTCCCTTGAGAAAAAGTTAGGTTTCGGTCATTTGGTCCCCGCTGGACCACCGATCTACAGGGTGGAGTTACACTTTTACTGGTTGTAGCTTAGTTCTAAGCGTCGGTTTCTCTGACCTGGTCTATCGAAGTCCGGGTCAAGTTAGACGTGAAAACGGGTGCGGTCAGTCCGATTACAGAAACCAATACAGATGATTTTATCCCATCATACTATGACCATTGGCCAAGGCCACATTAGAGGGTAGTTTAGTATCAGCTAACATCCAACAAAGAACTCAATAACCCAAGTTGATGGTTGATAACATGGGCGGACGGATACTATGTGACGTGGAATAGACACAATTTGAGTGGAACAAAAGTGGACACGGCGGGGATGATTTTGTGAGACAGTATAAAATACAAAAACGTTTCTCTGTTTCTGAAGATAGCAAACACCTGGGAACATCAAGGAGCTCTACCGTATGCGTGCAAAACACCATCAGTCAATCTAAGTTTCTACCGATAAGGCAAGGTTCTTTTTCAGCCAATGATGTCCTGGTACCGTGTGACTCCGTTCGTTTTGTTCAGGTCTTTTCCTACGCTTTGTAGGAAACCATTCTCCTGTGACTGAACCACTGGTTATTAATGTAACTGGTGTCCGGTCACATGACTTCTGCTAAGTAATCCTTTCAAGAATGGTCAAATCGAAATGTGACGGCCCTTCTTTTGTGTCCCACCAGACTGGCTAAATGAGCTTTTGACGTTGAAGTGATAATTCCTGTTGGCAGGGCATTTTTATACAGCAAAAGTATGAATCACATCACCATTTTTTGTTTGAGCAGCATTTCGACTGATTAAGTCTAGAAAAGTTTAGCCCCACAAACATTTCATCCCTTTTTGTGATTCATCAGGTGGGAGCTGTGGGTGATCCCAAGTTATAGTGCAGGTTCAGAACTTCCCATCCGATTAGGTAGCTGCCCACACGGAGAGTCGGCAATTTTTGTGAGGACGTGGTTGAATAAATTACCAGCTGGATAGAAAGAAAGATTTCACACACTTCGTACGCTTTGGTCATCTGTTTTTAAGGTATTTGTAAATAGATCCTAGTGCCTTTGCGAGTACCCAACATAGCAAAGATGTTAACGTCTCTGTTGCACTTATTTTATGTTTCCTTTCCTCATCATCTTTTTTAAAGTATTTTTAAATAGATCCTAGTGCCTTTGCGAGTATCCAATATAGCAAAGATGTTAACGTCTATGTTTTACTTATTTTATGTTTCCTTTGTCTTTCTTCTTCCTTTTTTTTCTATTTCCTCTGTTAGTCACAAGGTTTGGAATACGCAAGTGATGTATAAAAAGAAGTTTCAAGCGCATTTGAACGGTCAGACATCCAGCATTGTCACGTGATCAAGATCACGGAGACAAGATCCATCGATTCAAAAGTTCAAGTTCACCGAGAACCTGTTGATGAGGCTTGACCAGGTTGGTATGACTGGTAGACAAAAAAATTGCGTCTTGATTGCACAGTAACACTCCGGACGGAGAAGTCGGATCGATTTTGGTGACCGGAGTGTGACAGAGGGCATGGTAACAGAGTTGCCTTCTGACCTTCGACCTTTCGGAGACAGCTGTTCAAATGCTCGAAAAAAGGACTATGGTGCTCGCTCTAACCCGTGCACAAAGGGGTATCTATCTGTGCATCCAAAACTGCAGGGGCACGGATGACTGGTTGGAAGGGAGCTAAGTCTGACGAAACATCCCCGCATTTGAAGAACGGTTCTCCTAGCAGTCCGGAAACACCGTAGTCGCGTATTGCTGCATACCGGTCTTCCGGCCACACTAACTTATCCCACAAACCTCTGAAAAAATGCAGCTTTTTGATGTCATCCTAGTCGAGTGTCTGTATCCCTGCCCTTTCGCATTTGTTCCTAACTTTTTCTAGCACTCTAACATTCCCAGACATTTTACCTATAGGTGTTGGTACGATTGGCCAAGGAAACCCAGCGCTTTAGTAAAGCATTGGTCTCTAACAGTCAGTCAGTTTAGTTCAATTTTTCAGCTGGCACCAAATTACTCTGGTTCAAGGTACCATTCACCGAGGATGAGAGAGGATAATGGAGTGAGCGCTAAGAGTTTGGACGCAGTGGCTCAAACTTTTTATTGACGACAAATAAATCTCTTTGTCCAGTAGGCTAGCAGTTCCAACCAGCTTCTGAAAGACATAGGGGAAGTTTCATATTTGCGTGACTTCTGTGATGAAGGTCGAAATTTCAATGCCAAGACCTTCGTAAACTAACGCCAATACGTTCTGGCCGTTCAGTTGTGTTCGCGACCAGCCGGGATGAATTCTCCGCAGTGGAAAGCAACAGGATAGCTAACCATGCCGCTTTGTTGACAATTTGTCTTGCTGCCAGGCTGACATGTTGACCAATCCAGTCAAGTTCGGAAGCCATAACAACAAAAAGTGAAACGCTTTTTGGGCGGGAACAACGGTTGTTTGTAATTCTTTGTTTATGAAGATCATCTGCAAAGTATTGATTCGAATTCATGCTCCCTTTAGGGGAAGATGTATCGGTGTTCGTGTGAAAATATTGGGTACGATATTTACGACTATGATGCATTGTTGAAAATGAACTTGTGAAATGCCTACAAGAAAGTTTTTTGGAGAATCAGGTGACCAAAACGTCTAGCAGGGTCTTCCTCCGTATCTTCGAATACCCAGATAAATTTTCGGAAAAAGGACAACTTCAAACTGGCAGGTCTTCGTTGATCGGTGCTTTCAAGGTTTCTTGGAAATTCACCCGAATTATTCGAAATAAATGTCAAGTGATTTCAGAGGTCTTGAAATGTTTACTTCTTAACAGTAGCTTAAATTTGAAAATTTCATGTAGTTCAGCACGCTGAAGATCACTCACCCTGTTGCACAATAGTATACAATTCATTCCCGCTCACACAATGCCCCTTTTTAGCGAAATACACTCAGTTGCAAACTAATTTGGTTTTGCGAGAGACTCACCTGGAACATAGCTGAATCTCTCGGTTTTGATATTTCTGGGCAACTGAATGTGCTACACCAGGCCACGATATCCCGAATATCGTAGTGACCGAAACATGAGGCGGTCTGCTGCAGCACAGTCGGGTGCCTCGAGACATCACAAATGAGAGATTCAGCTGGGTTCCAGGTGAGTCCCCGGCAAAACCAAATAACCTTGCAAATGAGTGTATTTCGCTAATTTCGTACAATCCTGCTTCAAGTAGAACATAAGGTTGATGGAAACCCGGGGACTGCGCCTACCTGATGAGCCCCAAAACGGGCGAAACCGGTCGACGGATTTCTAGCAACCATATGTGTAGAGCATTGCAAAATACTCCTTTTTCTTTTTATTCGAAGGTGGAGGAAAGGTCTGAACGAACCAATACCTGTGTGTGCATTTTTGGCTGTGCCTTTGCTTTGAAAGATGATTATGCATTACAGGTGAACTCACCTCCCAATCAGGGACGCTGGAATCCCATAATTACGACGTCTTGGTAGACGAGTACTTCTGGCTGGAGCGACTTGCTCGGTCTCAAATTAGGCCTCGAAACACTGTGCGGTTAGCCATGTTGACTTATCGGGTCTTTTCATTCAGGCAAACATCTTGTGATGATGCTGGACTACGTGCAATTAGTTGCCGAAATTTTTGTGCAGTTGGTGTCCACACCCTTGTTCTACGATTGGTTCTCTCTCTATCCCCGTTTGATTTGAACTGGATGCCGGAAGCATTGATCTGGCATTCGATTTTAATTAAGTTCCAGTGCAGCGCCTTCTACATTCAGTAAAGGGGCTTATCTGGCAGAGCTGAGTTCGGGCATGAGAACGACAGACCATGAAAGAAATATTAGAGGTGTCTGCAAAGCAGAATAACCTAACCTTTTTCATAAAGGGAAGTACGCACAAAGTTGCTGAAAACTCTTCGACAGCCCACGACCGGATACACCCTTCGAAGGTTTTTCAGCAACCGAGTGAGTAGTTTCCTTCATGAAAATACACTGCAATATCTCGAATATCGTACCAACTGAAACATGAGGCAGCCTTTGCGCAGCACATTCTGTTCAAGAATATCATAAACAAGAGTTTCATTTGGGTATCCCGTGAAGATTAAATTAATTTGCTAATGAACTCTAAGCTTTTCATTTCAGTTGTATTGTTATAGGGGATTGTCTAAACGGCCTGACTGTTTTACACGATAGTTTTTGGGTGCGAATACTGTCAGTAACTAGACAAGAACTCGTCTCCACGGACTTAAAGACCGTTTAGGGGCATTCGAATAAATTCCAGTTTCTCACCAACAATTTGAATATATCCCACATTGTTCAATGGTGATCGAGGCCACAAAATGGTAGCTCCCTAAGCGAGCCTAAAACGAAATGTTCACTGGCATGATTCACGTCCAACTCACTCTAGTCTGAAGAATTCTCTTCCGGTCCTGGTGTAATTATTCTAACAACATGTATCTGACACGCCTTGCATGTTAAATATCCAAGGTACAAAACCCAGTCTGACCAAGGATTGGCGTCGCTGATGAGCTCTAATAAGAGCGAAACACATACCCAGTGATTGGTATGGGCAGTTGTGACAGGTTGGACGAAGACTGTGCACACCGGAGTGATGTGAACAAAAATGTCTTTGTAATGTACTACACATAAGGTTGCTGAAAAGCCCTCGACAGCCCACGACCGGCTGACCAAGGGCGTCGCTGATGAGCTCTAATAAGAGCGAAACACATACCCAGTGATTGGTATGGGCAGTTGTGACAGGTTGGACGAAGACTGTGCACACCGGAGTGATGTGAACAAAAATGTCTTTGTAATGTACTACACATAAGGTTGCTGAAAAGCCCTCGACAGCCCACGACCGGTTTCGCCCGTTTTGGGGCTCATCAGGTAGGCGCAGTCCACAGGTTTCCGTCAACCTTATGTTTTACTTAAAACCAAATTGCCCGAAATTGGCGAATATACACTCATTTGCAAATTAATTTGGTTTTCCGAGAGATTCACCTGGAACGCAGCTGAATCTCTCGTTTGTGACGTGAGTCTCTCGAAAAACCAAATTAGTCTGCAAATGAGTGTATATTTGCTAAGAATTTCACCAGTTTTATTTTTTTGTAGTATTTGATTAAGGAGCTGACAGCTTTGCGAACATACCTCGAGCAAACTTACGATTCACTCCTCGATATACACACCTATACTGTTACAGTTCCACGTATGAGGCACCAGTGAGGTAGGCATGATTACTGTATATCTGAACAGATTATCATTGCTTCTGTTGTGGAAAATTCGTGGATTAAATCACGTCACCTTGAACAGTTCCAAAGGCAAATCAGAGTGTTTACGTTTTGACCATCATTTTCAAAGGTGGCTGGAAGTCGCATATTGCATAGACCGCCACCAGTGCACCTCCTGTCTCGCAAACACTGAGGCTGTCTTGCAAAATGGCTTAGGTTATCGGAGGATTATGATCTTTTCAGATGCCCTTCTTACGCTGTCGGTGGTTTTTGGCAAAGCAAGAACTGTTGACCCGTTTCTTGAACCAGAGCTAATGAGTTCCGCATATACGGGTAACCGACAACAAGGAAGCACGTTGATATATACACAGCATGCGGTGAGAATAGATATCCATGAAACCGGTCTACATGCCGCAGTGTTTGATAACAACGCCACTTCAAGTTCAGTAGGGTTCCCATGGTAGTGTGTTCAGAAGTTCTGTTTGTACACCATAAATATTTCCAGAGTCACATGCAAAACCAAATTTGTTTGCAAATGAGTGTATTTCGCTGAGTTTGTATTACTTCAAACCTAATGACAGGTATTTTCGACGTCACACGCGGCATAAATGAGTGAATTGATTCACGCCTTTGGTTTCATAAGGCAAACTACCTTCAGAGCTATGCGAAACCCTTAATGAAAGACTTAAGGACCACGTGCAGAGATCACATATTCTAAAGCATGATTGCATAACTCAGACGTGAGTGGTTTTTTTCCGACGGCTTTTTTGGTGGTGTTTAATTTAATTAACATCCCTTGTACTTCCGCTCTGTTTTAAAAGATTTCGCATGCATACTCCAGAGCAAGTTATTTCTTAGTTGCAATAAACAGACCACCAAAACTTGAAAGACCCTGAGGTTTTCCTCTTGTTATCTCATCGATGTCAATGGTGGACAACAATGGAGGGAATCGATGCCCTTTCGCTACCTCATTTTTTATAAGAAAGCTTCCAAAGAGCTCGCCACAAACTGACACACGCCAGAAATGTGGGAACATAAGAACTAGTTCAGGTTCTCCAACTCCACCCATCAAATAAGCTTGGTTAGAAAAATCGATCGACGAACAAAGTCAACAGCAACCATGAGGTCAATAAACACCGAGACTCTGAATCGTCTGTACATATGGCGCCATTTTACCGCCAGTCGTTCTGCTAGATGCCCCTCTATGCGTCTTAAATCCTACTTATGAGTCAAGCTGTCTCTCACTCCCTTCAAGAAAGACGAAATGTTGATGACTTTCAAAGCCCTGTTACAACCGGAGCACGCTAATACTGCTGTGGTTACCAAGTTTACTGTGAGAATCATTTTGAAGAGCGTTTTGGATATTTCGCCGCCACTATTGAGTGAAATCATGCGGAAGTCCACTGGGACTATACGCGTACGGTTGCCTAAAGAATCCCCTACACAAACTATTCTGAGAGTGCATTCACACTCCAAGTAACCGTTACATACATGTAGCCCAACTAGGCTCTTATCGTCAGAAATGCGACTCTCGTTGACGATGCACTGTCTTCTTACTTCGCGCAGGCCTGAGAAATGTGCCAACCGCGAACAGAAGTACCACAGAAATGACAGACCGCAACTGATCCTTTTATCGGCAACTGATATCACTGAATCTGCGAGGCTGCTTTGTCCGTAAATGCAATGTAGTCATAGTATCTCTACCGTTCTGAAAGTGCAAGCCGCAAAAAAAACAACTTATATTGGGTACACATCTGCTACAGACGCTATTAGAAGTCCGCAGTATCCATTTCCAAACAACCGGTTGACTCAGTATCAGCCCGCTTGAGTGTTCATTGCACCGGCAGCCATAACGTCTGAACTTCTAGCGGTTTGTGGAACTACGCCAACAGTGGCACAGAAACTCTGCTCGGCAGCTTCAGAGCCACAGCCTTTTAGGTGATAAGGAGAAAAAATAAAAGGAAAATATATCCCAGCGTTGAGACGCTTTAACGGATCTTGCAAAAGGATCACACGTAGGCGAACAACAGCGACACTGCCAGAAACTGTTGCGTTAAAAGCGAGTGGGCAGCTCGTTTAGTGGCACCAGTTGATTTTTCTCTATCCCATTGACCAGTAAGGCCTACAGCAAGGAGGATGGCATCCATGTAGAATTCTTAACAAGTCTACCCATCTGAGCGAAACTGGTGGGCCTCACACATTCGGCCAGAAAACTAGGACTTGTTCGTTTGTGATGCACTACTCACAAGGTTACTGAATTGTTCGTATTATCCCGACAAACTTGAGGAAATTCCACTCGAGAAAACGCTGCCATGCAGCAGGTGATTTTGTGTCGCAGGGTCTTCCTCTAGTTCAGTTACCTCCGAAGTGGGACTGAAGATGAGGTACCTTACGGTTCCGTGAATAATCGGTCTGCTCCCCCCAGCAAGGGGTCTTACATCACTGAAGGTGAATCATTTTTGCACTGTTGCGTTCGCCAGTTCATGTTGTCAGCACGAATGACGCACTACAGCACCTCAATCCCTCTTGCTGGGTGTAAAGTTTCGAACTATCACCGATGTGTTACTGTAAGATGTGGTCCAACTGGACGAGTATATATAGGCGAGATCGTCATGTACGTTTCCATTGAGTAAAGTTCAGATTGCAGAATGGCTAGTGAACATAAGTAGCGATTAGCAACTGTTGGTTGGATTATTTCATCTTAGATCCTACATTCCATACTCCGAAGAGGTAATACGGAGGTCCTGTTGAACTGTTACAGGGAATTTCGAGCGACATCTCTTCTACACAGACACGGGTTTGCATTTTGCCCCAAAATTTAAACCAAAGAAATGTGTAAATCAATCCACTGGAATTGCAAGACGATTGTCAGCAATTATCAAAAACATTTATTTTCGAAATATCAGACCAAAAACGCTTTGCTGCCCGATGTTACTTACAGCACGTGAAAAAAGATCAGTGTGTTTCCAGGTATTGTTGAAAGCTGGTCAGTGTTGAAATCGTTCATACACGTCTGACCTGAGTTTCTCCTATCACTGTTCCCCACATGAGCGGCAATATTCAGGACAAGGAACCCGAGTCTTCCACGTAATGAAGAACTTTATGGAAAACGAAAATTGGCCGAAGGAGCGCTTAGAAATAAAATCTTGCGAGAAGAAACGCAAATTTTTGAATATCCCAAAAGAAATCTTGTAAAATACCGCCCAGTTTTTGTTTTTCTGTTCAACTTGTAGCTGCCTGACACTCCTTAGTCGAAGTAAAATGGGCCAAAATCGATCTCACATTTGCCTTGTTGACAACGATGCATGAGTCAAATGGCATTTATCACTACTGCATTGCTAGGTATCCAATTTCGCGATCTGCCACCTACCATCAGTTCAATTTAGTTGGGTTTTTCATCTAGAAACAGTTAATCGAAGTACATCGGTTCAACCTGCTACGGTTTTGTTCAGCGATAGCCACATATTGGAAGCCGCGGCACTGCTATTTCACTGACTTATACTGCCTTTTGATTGCCCAGTATGACAAGGAGTGGTAGAGCTGCGAGCCCAATCCCATTATGAACCTGGTTTCCTCATCTATTCAGCTTACTATGCATGAGGATTTGTGTGATCTTGATTCGTCTAGTGATACTGTCTGGTTGTGAGCCAATCACGCGTTAGTTAGTTGTGACAACCGACGAGCATACGGATCAAAACAAACTGCCAGCTCAATCGTTCACGATATTCTGTCCATCGATATGCTTGAACTGGACCGTAAGCCAGCACAAAACAAATCCCTACATGCCTGATAAGTGCGATTGCCAATGGTTCGCTGACACCAGGAAGCGTGATTTGTTTGTTTGGTTTTTTTGATTGCCTGGCCTTAGATTTCACTGATAGCGGACGGGCGGTAAGAATATGCGCGTTAACAACGCAAGATGAGCATCCGATGAACGGCTTCACTTTGTGCTCATGTACAAAAAGTACTGTTTCCGCTACACTTGCCCTAGATTGCGAACGAACTTGCCTTAAACTGAAACGTGTTTATAGAAACGACCGTTTGGAAGGCTTTACCCACGATATTGGTGATAATAACGGTAATAATAAAATTAGCAATCCATTCGTAACACACTTTCTATGGGTAGCTGTAGAAACGTAAACGAAGACCGAAGTACCGCAAGTCTGCCACCGCCTGCACAGAAGCCATTGAAAATCCAGAATTGTCTTTGAATGACATCCTGTCGATCCGTGCAGAATGAAAACGCAGTATCTATAACACGAACAATCACGTGATGAGTGAAGAAGGTTCGATAAACGAAAAGCCGACAAGATGTGGAAGACATTGCATGATATCACACATGCAGACCTAGGAAAAAGTGAAGTGGTGTCGAATGGCTCAACAGGTTACATGTTCCGTTGTCGTGCGACCCACCCGCCATACTGTGCAAATTTCCTCAACCTGCATGGGTTTGTTCCCCATCTCTCTTCTGCCCTCATCTTAGTCGTGCAATCCGGTAGACCTATGTAGTATCAAGGCTAACAGTGTTTATTTTGGAGTTAACCCATTTTAATGTACTACTCGTAAGGTTACTCAAATCCGTCGACAGCCCACGACCGATTTCACCTTTCTTAAGGCTCATCAGGCAGGCGCAGTCCACGGGTTTCCGTCAAATTTATGTTCTACTTGAAACCAAATTGCACAAAAGTAGCGATTAGATACACACTTGCAACTTAATTTGGTTTTCCGGGAGACTTACTTGGAACCCAGCTGAATCTCTCGTTTGTGCTGTTCTCAGACAACTGAATATTGTAGCGACTGAAAGATGAGGCCGTTTGGTGCTGCACATTCAATTACCTGAAAACATCCCAAACGAGAGATTTAGCTGGGTTCCAGGTGAGTCTCTCGAAAAAGCAAATTAGTTTGCGAATGAATGTACATTAACCCATTTTAGTTATTTCGTTCCTGATTCATTCAGGGTAATGACTTTGCAGTTTATCTCTTTGCCGCGGCCTCCACGAGAAATGCGGACGTTGGGCCCGTTAATGCTAGGGGCAGGAGATGGTAAAGAGGAAATGGCACTCCACATACCGCCTGAAAAACAACCTATGTACTGGTAAAGTGTTCTGACCATTGTAGTCGTCTTTGAACGGGGACAGAGAGTGAGGTGAAATGTTTCAAGCAGGAACACCAGTTCCACTGTGAAATTCTGAACGAGAAGCTCTTGGACTTTGCCCATCAGTATGCACTACATACCATATCACCCACGTATTATCATAGCTGGGCAGGCAAAACTCTGCTGGTCAGAATTTAACAATACGTCAAGTAGAACATAAGGTTCCCGGAAATTCGAGGACTGCGCCTACTTGATGAACCTCAAGAAGCAAGAAACCAGTCGTGTGTTGTCTAAGAGTTTTCAGCAATTATGTGAGCAGTTTCCTTTATTAAAATTAACAATAGGTCATTCATTAGATGCAGAAGATCTGTGCGGTCTCAGTCACTCCTTGTTGGTTTTCGAAACGAACCCGAAAATTATCCCGAGTTCTATATTCATGGCAGTTACTTTAAAATTCTCGCTTTCTCCTTCCCTAGGTTGCAGTAATGAAATGATATTACTGGCTTGTTTTGCTACTAGATACTTATGGGTAACTTCTGCATTGTTTGGAATTTTTCGCCGAGGTTTCGGATTGACCTCTCGCAGTTGCACAGTCAAATGCGAAAATACGAAGGAAGTTTGGCAGTGTTGCTATTTCCAGGTGGAACAGATCGTTCACACCTGATGCTTAAGCGTTATTCGTCTGGGTCGCTTGAGACGGTCTCTAGCGCAAGGATTGGTCAGAAATTGTTCGTCATACAACAGGTTGACCTTGGCTTGCCAGCAAAAAAGGTAGCCGGTACATGCTCCTATTGGTGGTTTGCTCTCTAACCAACCAATCACCAAGCGACGGTGGTGGAGCAAACATGTGATCAAAATGCTTAACTGCGACCAGCCAGCTCGTCAGAATTTGACACTCAGCTCTGGGTGGTCTTGCTTCTTCCGGAGACATTGGTCTCGGTCGGGGTCGTCCATAAATTGGCCGCAATTGAGCTCTGCACCTTTGATTTTCACCATGAACTTCTCTCGAAATAATTTGGCTAAACGGCGAGTGACCAATGAAAACGTTCCACGTTATTTTCTACATCACCATAGCCCAGATCATTACCAAAATCGCCCAATGAGCGCCCTTCGACAACACATGTCTTTCAGCTCGGTGCAGCATTTAATGAAGTCACGCACAAATCAACGGAATAACTCATTTGACACTACCCCTAAACAGATGGACGACCATCTTCTACGACGAGGAAGCCGATCAACCACAGTGCTCAATCAACCTAACGAGACAGGAGAAAATTTAATGAACACTACCTCCACTGTCGTCCAACACACGCGAGGTCATGATCTGGTGCAAGCAACTTGTTCTCGTCTTCGCCTACCCTGTGAAACTTGCCAGCACACTGTGCACGGGCATCACTATCTCTACTGTCAGCACTGTCCCCTGGTCGTACACAGGAAGGAATTGTGCGTAACATCAATTCCTCGTGGTTGTCCATCAGATGACCTCGGAATCAAAGGCTGGGGTGAAGGTGAGTGTCCAAATCTAAAACACCGGAAGTTTATTTTTTTGTAAATGAGTACCAGTTCAACCATCACATTTGTTGGAAAGGCGTTGTGTAGGTCACACTTTTGTCAATAACAGGTATTCTGTGGATTCCCCATCTCTATCAGAATCGGGTTAGTCGGTCGGTAGTTGTTGAACCGTTTGTACCTAGTGGGAGAGCCACAAATAGTTTGCATTGGACTCAGGTGAATGCTGAGGGCAGACCCTTCCCAACGACATGGAGCTGAGAGAATCAAAACGTTGGGTGCTGTTGTGTGTTGCAACTTATCGGTTTGCCCAAACAGGATGGTATAGAACATGACACTGACATCATCGATATACGAGAGTCATCAGTTCATTCCGCTAAGTTTGTCGCAAATCCGCTGAGATAGAATTTCACAAAAGCTTGATGGTACCTTCAGATTTTGAACTGTACTCTTCCTCTGGCCACAGATAAGTTGCCTCTGTATGTGACTTTCGGCAATTCGTTTCAACCCCGTTTTTGTACCGGACTATATGTAGTCTATGTCACTAGAGCTGGTGGATGTACAGGGACGTTGTGTTCCACTGATCTGAGAATGGGTTGTTAGCCTCGTGATATCAAATGTTTTCCGCCAAAACAGAAATATCTTGTTCATTAAAACGATTCGTTTTGACGAACATTTATTATGACTAATGCTGCTGTAGCAATAAGTTCCACCTGGATTACGGAGGAAAGGGAACAATGAACTTCTCACTTCATGTCAGTCTTCATCAACAGCCATTTACTCAGGGGGCGAGTTGGACCAAGTGGTAAGAGCGCTAATTTACTGACCGGAAGGTCCGTGGTTCGAACCCGACCTCTGCCTCTGGACTAGACTTTGGCGACCTGGCAGTATCCCAGCCCTCGTGCCTCCTTCGTGTGGCACGACAGCTAGGCACCGAAAGGGTGCTACAGCTGAGCGGTCCATTTACTCAAACAAAACGTGGAATTCGTGGATCACACTCCGAGGAATTCAGATGATATTTTACACGATCTTTGTTGGAATGTGCTACCCGGAAGTGTTGAGCTTTGTTCGAGGAACCTAATCACCCTCGCTCCGAAATATCTGATGAATCCTTCTATCAGAATCATACAATTTACAACCGATGGTCCCGCTGGACATGAAACGAACACGACAGCTGGCACCGAAAGGGTGCTACAGCTGAGCGGTCCATTTACTCAAACAAAACGTGGAATTCGTGGATCACACTCCGAGGAATTCAGATGATATTTTACACGATCTTTGTTGGAATGTGCTACCCGGAAGTGTTGAGCTTTGTTCGAGGAACCTAATCACCCTCGCTCCGAAATATCTGATGAATCCTTCTATCAGAATCATACAATTTACAACCGATGGTCCCGCTGGACATGAAACGAAGAAGGTGGTCGGTATTCGGCCGCACACTAAATATGGCTGCACAAGAAGAAAGTCAGGGGACGACAAATGAATCTAGGAATACATTCGTTGATCTGCTGCACCCCACTCCCTTTCCCGTTTATTGACGAATTGCAGCAAACGCCACATTCATATACTACGTCTAAGAGCATATACTAAGTTAGCTGTTTAATCTTTCCCATCTGGTTCTGGAGAGTTTTTAGGAGGCAATCACTCTGGAAAATATTTCCTCCTGGTTAAATAACACTCTGTCCACAATACTACTTAAATGTATAGTCGTTGGTTTTTTCGCTGAACTGGACAGTTTGATCGCAAACGTTTCATCACCAATCGAGGTGACATCATCAATGAGTTATTGGGGAGCGTAGTGGTGCTTAGCGATGGGTTAGTGGTTCTGCCACACTTAAAAATGTTCGCATCCTACACCCAACTAAGAATCTTACCGAAATATAGCATAACCTCTTCACTTTCGCCTCCTAGTAGATTTGAAAAACAGACCATCCGGAAGTATGCTTTCATTTCTGAGGTCATCAGTTGGTAAGGTAATCGCCCAATGAACTCTGCCGACCATCGAATCAGCGAACATGTGTTTTGCAACACAACTTCCAGTGAGTCCTTAGTCATATCGATCAATTAACTCAGATTTACTCAGTCCACAACGTTCGCCAAAGCAATTGACTACGCTTGACCGATTCAAACAAACAGTTCCTAAGTGTTTGGATTAGATTAGACTTGAATTAATAATTGGGCTTTTCAAAGTGTTTGTTAGCTTATTTGATAGCATTTGTTACACAACACATAACCTATTAGGTAGCAGGGATGCTCAGATTCCCCCCGTATACTTACGCTAACATGAACTGCGTTAATTAGCGTCATTATTGTTGGATGATCTGTTTTCGATCTCAGCAACAATTACTTCAAATGTGTTGATTTGAAGCATACAATGTTTTTCCGACTAGTGACTGAGATTCTCAAACAGAATGGCCAAAGCATGCAAAATGGTCCTCTTATATGGACCTTCTCAGATGGCTGATAATTGGTAAACTGTGTCGAGAGATCATTCTAGTCCGAGGTTCACAGGACCAGCGCGATGTAGTCTTCTTCGAGAAGAAGCGCTTCCCGTGGATGGACTATGCGTCAGAAGACAACTGCACTAGATGAAATCAAATAGTAGCGAATATACACTCATTTGCAAACTAATTTGGTTTTTGGAGAGACTCACCCGGAACCCCGCTGAATCCCTCGTTTGTGATGTTTTCAGGCAACTGAATGTGTTGCACCAGGCCGCCTAAGGTTTCAGTAGCCTAAATCATCACAAAAGAGAGATTCAGCTGGGTTCCAAATGAGTCTCCCGAAAAACCAAATTAAGTTGCAAGTGTGTATCTAATCGCTACTTTTGTGCAATTTGGTTTCAAGTAGAACATAAGGTTGATGGAAACCCGGGGACTGCGCCTATCTGATGAGCCCCAAGAAGTACGAAACCGGTCGTGGGCTGTTGACGGCTTCTCAGCAACCTTAAGTGTAGTACATTAGAAATATTTACATGAAACCAAATAATGGTTTTAAAATTGGGCACCTGGAGCATACGGCCAGTCGAATGAAGTTGGAAACTTGAGAAATATTTTCAGGTCTTTAATATGACCAAGCCATAATTGGCAAAGCATCAGAGGATCGTCTCAGCTGAATGTGGCTCACGAATGCTACATACGCTTGAATAGCTGAATAGTTGTCTGCGAGTATGAACTGCCTTCTTGCTTAAGCAGTCGTGAGTTGCAACTTGGGAGAAAAAAGCTCTCCGTTGTTTAGCTGATTTCGGCTCCACAGAGCAGTACGAAAATTCAATTTATGGCCACATCCGTCGACCATTCGGTCAACATTCACTGTTCATTGGTCACAGAAGCGTTAGCTTCGATAAAACGCCGTACATATTGGCACTTTTGCAACGAGGAGCTGTCCAAACACTCTCCTATTTTTATATGAGATCAGACAGCAAATTCATTTTTTTATGCCGGATGGCCACAAACCTGATGAGCACCATCCAACCAACCATAAAACAAGAAGACGCAGGTTGCAAGGTGTCAATCATAATAATATGTATAGGTTGTAGTCACAAAGAGTTAACTCTCATAGCCCCTCTGAATCTATCGGTATAAATGTGGGATAGGTAGCTCCAAGGTAGACAGATGGCCAGAATGGATGGGTTTTGAGCAGTGTGCAAGCCGCTACGTTCTTACTAGCGATGGTTCATTAAACCCTAAAACAGGTTTTGGTTTCATAGCCAAATTGTAAACCCCCGAGAAGGACCAAATGTATGACCTGTTTTATAGACCCCAGTTTCCCGTTAGCGGTCGTGACGTGGTTTTCGCCAATCATGCGGCTCATAGAAGAAAAAAATCGTTTAGCTGTAGCACCATTTTGGTGTCTAGCTGTCATGCCACTCGATGGAAACGCGAGGGATGGGATACTGCCATGTTGTTTTGGTGTCTGTCATGCCACTCGATGGAAACGCGAGGGATGGGATACTGCCATGTTGCCCAAGCCTAGACAGAGGAAGTCGAGAGGCAGGCAGAGGGTTCGAACCACGGACGTTCCGGTCAATGAATTCACGCTCTCACCACTTGGGCCATCTCGCCTCCCACCCATGGGAAATTCATCAGTGCATGTTGAGACATCAGTTGAGAAAAAGGCAGTAAGGTTTATTTACTATTATATTTTCCCTTTTACTCGTAAGTAAGTCGATGTGCAAATTTTAGGTTTATTAGGGAACACTATTTCCGGTATAAATCATCCTATGCATGCTTTTGACTTGGAGACGATTTCAGCTCGTATATGACGCTGTTTACGATACAGCTACCTCTATACAGTAGAAACAGTGAAACATCTGCCATGGGGCAAAGCGATCACATACATTTTGCCATGCGTCTGTTTTTTTATTTTTTAGATTGTATTAATTCAGTTGAATAGAATGGAAGTCCAATTTTACTGACAGAGCGTCCAGGGTGAACATTACCTTAAGTAGCCAATGTTTGTACACGTAAGTATTTTCCGGTCTAGCGTAGTTTGGCGTAAGTACTGGTTCACGCGGCTAGACCTCAGACCAGCTGGTGAGATGCTTCTCGAAAAAGAAACTGGCCAAGATTGTCTATCCGGATGGCTCTATAAACCTACACAACAATTAAAGTACTCCATTGATACTTACTACCCCGTTGAACGACCTTACTATGTTTACCGCCTCGGTTCCAAGCCGTTAGCCATGGGATAATCCACTCCGAGTTACTCAGTGCACTCTTGATGTCCTCTCTGGCAGTCAGAATTTTTACCATTAAGCCTAGGTGATTATGCTAATTCAGAGCCCACAGTGTATACGCCACGTGAAATTCCAAACTGGAAGTCTACTGGGAAACAACTGTTAACATTTCTATTGAATTGTATGAGAGACAAAGTATTTTTTGTAATGCACTACTTATAAGGTTGCTGAAAATTGGTCGACAGCCGACGACGGGTTTCGCCCTTCTTGGGGCTCATC